GAGGAAGGAGAGGAGGAAGGAGAGGAGGAAGGAGAGGAGGAAGGAGAGGAGGAAGGAGAGGAGGAAGGAGAGGAGGAAGGAGAGGAGGAAGGAGAGGAGGAAGGAGAGGAGGAAGGAGAGGAGGAAGGAGAGGAGGAAGGAGAGGAGGAAGGAGAGGAGGAAGGAGAGGAGGAAGGAGAAGAAGGAGAAGAAGGAGAAGAAGGAGAAGAAGGAGAAAGAAAGAAAGAAAGAAAGAAAGAAAGAAAGAAAGAAAGAAAGAAAGAAAGAAAGAAAGAAAGAAAGAAAGAAAAAGACTGGCTGCAGAGAACTTGCTGCTCTTGCAGAAGATCCAGGTTCAGTTCGAGCCCCACGTGGTGGCTTACAATATCCGTAGCTCCAGTTCCATGGGACCTAATGCTCTCTTCTGATCTCTATGAGCACTCAGGTGGACACATACAAACATGGAGACAAATCAAGCTTGTACACAAAAACGAATAAAATCTTCAAAATCAATAAATCTTCAAAACAAATGACAACAAATACTGGCAAGGATGTGGGAAACAAGGATGGGGGAAATGTCGCTCTTAGTGGGGGCTGTAACTCAGTATAGCCACTATGGAAGTCACTGTGGAGCTTTCTCCAAATGCTGAAAAGAAACCTACCACATGTTCTGTTATACCGTTCCTCAGAATATAGCCAAAGCAGCCCACATCTACAGAGAAACCTGCACAGACATGTTTGCTCCCACCGTATTTGCAATAGCTAGGGAACAGAACCTGCCTGGAAGGCCAGCAAGATCAGTGGGTGGTGCAGAGAGGGGACACATACACAATGGAATTTTATTTAGCTTTAAGAGAAAGTGAAATTTAAGGGGAAATGGATGTGACTGGAAAATATACTAATTAAGACAAGTATGCTGATTGCTTTCTGTCAATTTGACATAAACCTAGACATAGCTGAGAAGAGGGGATCTTTATTGAGAACATGGCTTCATATCTGAGGAGAAATGAAGAAAATGCCTCCATAAGACTGACTTCTAGACAACCTGACATCACCCCTGGCCAGGTGGTCCTGGGTAATATGAGAAAACAGCCTGAGTGTTGGGTGTCACACATCTTTAATCCCAGCACTCAGGAAGCAAAGGCAGGTAAATCTCTGTGAATTTGAGGCCAGCCTGATCTACATCTACATAGTGAGTTCCAGGATACCCAGGGCTACATAGAAAAACCCTGTATCAAAAAAAGGCTGGGTGAGGCAGTGGTTGCACACACCTTTAATCCCAATACTTGGGAGTCAGAGGCAGGCAGATCTCTGAGTTCAAGGCCAGCCTGGTCTACAGAGCAAGTTCTAGGGCTACAGAGGGAAACTTCATCTCAAAAAAACAAAAAAAAAAAGAAAAAAAGGAGGAGGAAGAGGAAGAAGGGAGGAAGAGAAACAGAATGAACTGATACAGGATGAGTAAGCCACGAGGAATAAGCCAATAAGCACTTTTCCATGGCCTTTGCTTCAGTTCCCACCTCCAGGTTCCTGCCCTGACTTCCTTCAGGAACAGACTCTGGAAGTGTAAGCTGAACCCTTTCCTCATTGAGTTGTTTTGGTCATGATCATTATCATACCAACAGAAACCTAAACTAATACACCGGGCCTAGAAAGAAAAATGGCAGGTATGTTCTCCTTCATATATGAATCCCTGGCTTTGTATTTTTAGATTTATGTGGTTAACAGAGAGTGTCTGTAGGGCCCATGAAGGGAAGAGTGTTCTTTTTTTTTTTTTTTTTTTTTTTTTTTGGTTTTTTGAGACAGGGTTTCTCTGTGTAGCCTTGGCTGTCCTGGAACTCACTCTGTAGACCAGGCTGGCCTCGAACTCAGAAATCCGCCTGCCTCTGCCTCCCAAGTGCTGGGATAAGGGAAGAGTGTTCTTAAGGGGATAGAACATATGTGATATGAAGATGCAGAGGAGAATATTAGCAGTTAAACGTTTACCCGGAGATATAGGAAGGAAGTAGGGGGTAAGGGGTAGGGCGGGTAAGGTAAAAGTAAAGGCGTATAAAAACGACCCTATGAAAACCCACTGCCTTCTAATATATTTAAAAGGCACGATTTAAAAAACAGCAGGAATTTGAGCTGATACTCTACATGGGTGGAAAGTGATTGACACCAAATGAAAGTCTTGGTACCAGGCATGGGTGACAGGTCAGTGAAGGCCCCAGGGGCCCCCAAACGACACAGGCTAGTGAAGCTGGCTCTTGGTTTCCCAGCAGAACCTGGCAGTAAGACCCTAATGCTGAAGACACCACACAATATGCTTGCAGGACAAAGAGAAATCAAACTGGAACTGACCTAAAAGTGTCCTACTGACTAGATTTCCTAAGACCAGAAGATGCTTTGCAGGCTGCTGGGGAGAAAAGCCATCCATGGCATCCCTGCGTTCAGCCCTTCAGCTGTAAATCAACCTGCCAAGATGTGCCCACTCGTGCGATAGTGGCATGATGTTCACGGGGCAACCAAAGTGAGTTTGAATTGGATTGAAGGCCTGCTCTGCACTGTACTGTAAACCTGGTCAAAAACCCTGGCTCAAGAGGTCACGGGCTCTGGGAGGGACCTACTGCTGTTGTTTTGCTTAAATGGATGTTTGTCAAGCCACATTCGGACTATTCATGTGTCTACCCATAGATCACTGCTGCTCTCAACCTTGCCCAGAGGAGTGTCTCTCTGCAGTGGTCAGCGGGTAGCACAGACTCCTAACTGGTCAGAGGGCTGAGACCAAGTGACCGCCAGAGTACTCAGCCTTTGTTTGTTTAGTGGGTTTGTTGTGTTGTGTTGTTAAGACAGTGTCTTACTATGTATGTAGCCCTGGCTGTCCTAGAACTTTCTATGTAGGCCAGGCTGGCCTAAAAACTCACAGAGATCCTCCTGCCTCTGCTTCCCAAGTACTGGGATAAAAAGCACGCACCACACCTGGCAAGGTGCTCAGCCTTAACTGAGACTTCTGAACCCTGAGGAAGAGAAGTGGAAAGAAGGTAAGAGTGGGAGGATGGGGATTGGGGAAATGAACTCTCTCTGGCACGACATGGCCACAGCACGCACGAACTTACTGCAGCGTGTTTACCTGCACAAGATGGAGCCAACAAAATCAGTCAACAATCCAGCACACAGTGCTAACTCAAGAGAGAAGAGAAGGCTGAGGAAGACAAGGAGCAAGAGGGCAGAGTTTGGATGGATATGATCAAGATACATCATAAGTACCTAAGAAATTGTCAAAGAATAAACAAAAGACAACCTAAAAAGAAAACGCTGAGCGGTGGTGGCGCACGCCTTTAATTCCAGCAGAGGCAGAGGCAGGTGGATCTCAAGGTAAGCCTGGTCTACAGAGCAAGTTCCAGGATAGCCAAGGCCACACAGAGAAACCCTGTCTCCAAAAAGGAATAATAATAATAATAATAATAATAATAATAATAGAAAAATGATAAACTGTAATGAAATAATGAAATGTAAGTATGTGAAGTGTTCCATTCTTTTAAAAAAGTACTTGGGGGAGGAAGGGTTACTGAGAGATGGCTCAGCAGTTAAGAGCACCGACTACTCTTCCAGAGGACCTGTGTTCGATTCCCAGCACCCACATGCCTGCTCACAACTGTAACTCAAGTTCCAGGGGATCTGACACACTCTTCTGGCTTCTGCTGGCACCAGGCACTCAGACAGTACATGCAATACATGCAGGCAGAACACCACATTCACAAAATTAAAAAGAAAATAACCATTGAATCCTTCAACAGCCCTTTCCCACGTACTCAGGACAGACAACCTCAACTCTTCTTCAGTGACCTCCTAGACAGGGACAAGTTTCCCTCATTTGAAAAGGAACAGAGAGGCTAAATGTCATCCAAGGCATGGTAGGATGATTCTGGCCAGCATCAGACAAAGTGGGTTATCTTTTGCCTGGCAATGTCCCTCCCTCTGTGTAAGGCAGGCAATAGTCTACCTGGGGCAGGAAGTCTCTTATTCCAGGCTGAAGTAGGGTCCCCAAGTCACAGAGTACCCAGGTCTAGCAAGAAGGTGGTAAAATGAACCAACAGGTCCCTATCAGGCCCAGCCCCCACCCCTCTGAACACCAGGTTCAAATAAAAACAGTGCAGCTGCCGGTCTATTATCTACTTCACTGTCCCCAAGGTATTCCACACAGCACAAGAAAGCCAGAACCCTGAACCCCTGCGGCGTGTGAGTGTGTGTGTGTGTCTGTGTGTGTGTGAGGGGGAGAGGAGAGAAAGAGGGAGAGAGGAGAGAAAGAGGGGAGAGGAGAGATCAGAGATAACTTCTGAGTCAGCTTTCGTTCTACCCTGTGGTTTCTGGGCTCAAATTCAGGTTATCAGTCTTGGTAACAGGCATTTTTATCTTCTAAGCCATTTTACCAAGCCTGGAGCTTTCTTTCAAGACTGGACTGAAATCCAGTGGTCACAGTTCTCCCTTCTCTCCCTCATTCCTTAGCTCTAAGTAGCCAGGACCCAGCACTGGCTCTACTCTGGGTGTGGTGAGTGAGCTAAGGCCTGAAGAGCAGGTGGGGAGGGCTGCCTACGGGAGCATAAGAGGTAGGACCAGTTCCCTCCGGACTGCTGGTGTGTGGCTCAGGGCGGAGCCCCTGGGTTTAAAGAGCAGAACCCACCCAGGCTGTCCTCAGACTTTTCCTCTCGGCACCACTCACCTGGCTCGGGTCATCTCCAGGGTGAGTAGAGATTCTCTAGGACTTAAGTCCTTGGAGGGGGTGGTCGCCAGACCTTCTGAGGAAGGGGTGGTGGGTGCTGACTCTAGGACTCTGAGAAGTGAGCAACTATTTGGGGATTGTAAGAACAGAGATGGCCTCTCTGGGCCTTGAGGGTTCTGACTTTATGACTGTGTAGCAGTGAGTTCGGGACTAGGGGAAGTAAGAGCCAACCTTTAGCAGAAGCAAAATGAAAATGCGACATAATCCAGGAGCTGTGGCTTTGTGGGAAGGGGTAAGAGAAACAGATGAAGGGCAAAGGAAAACCAGCTTCAGAGACTGGCCAGACCATAAACGCAGGAGATTTTTTTTTTTTTATCCAGTTTTCCATCTTAGGGCAAAAGGCCCATGTGGTTTATATATACTGTAGCAGGCTTTCTAGGCTAGGTATATTTTTTAGGATTGGCATATCATAGTTCCCTTAATTTTGTCTCCGTAATTTACAAGGTTGCCATTATTTATAGGTCACTGAATCACAGAGATATTATCTACTAAGTCACACACCTGGTAAGTGGATGTGAGAGGACTGAGCCCAACCAGTAGGTGCTGGATCTGTGATCTCAGTAGTAGACCAGAGTTCACTATAGTAGACAGTAACTGTGACTTCAGAACTGAACCCTTGACACTAGCCTGTAGCTACCATTATACAAAAAGAAGGGATGGAGCTTTTTCTTTCCTAAACTCAGCTGCACAAGGAGTATTACATACAATGTAAATGGGGCCCTGGGTAGGACCTACTCACAGGAGAAAGGGGTTGTGTCTCTCACACCAGCAGACCTTTCTAGCAGGTACCTATGCTCTGAGCAGATCTGGGGCTACTTGGAGCAAAGTTCCGAACTCTAGAAGAGGAGGCTGGAACTGCACCCTCCAGCCCTGTTCTTGAATTCTGAGATAATCTAGGACTCCACCAGACTACTACAGGCCCAGATCTTTTCAAGTGGAAGAGTCTGGGCCTGACACCAGGCTAGGAAAGCCTAGCTCCTACATAGAACAGAATCTCACTTTGAGCGTTTGGTTTTATCTTTGGGAATTCCTACTTCCTGTGGAAGAGATGATAGTATCTTTATAGAGCTCTTCCCAAAGCCCAGTGTGGTCACTATAGGGTGTTCTGTCCTGAACACGAAACTGGAATCAAGCAATCCACATACCCAGGTAATCACCAGTGCCATCTGTAGATGTGAAAACGGAAAGTCATGATTTTCTTAAGGTCAGCGCTTGCCTATGTGGGATTCACATGCCTGATTTTCACACCTCTTAAGTTCTGCCTCTTACTGTGAGCTGTGGCAGGTCACAGAGCACAGACCCAAGCCATCGCCTCTATTCTGCATCTCACCCAGCAGCCTGCAGCCTCGCCCTGGGCCCTGATATGGAGGGGATAACCTGTGCCTTTCTCCTGGTGCTAGCAGGTGAGCACTCCATACACTCCGCCTACCAAGGCAGTGGAGACTAGACAGCCTCTCCCCAGAGTAGGACTGCTACCCAATAAATGTGTTTACCTTTAAACTGTCAGCTGCGTAGAACACTAGTACAAGAGGAATGAGGACACTGAAAAGTTGCTTAACGGCTACTGCGTCAGTGGACTGTGAAAAACAGACAATGCATATCAAAGTTGGCTTGTTTCTTTAAGAGGCAAAGAGCCTGGCTCTGTCCAACACTTTTCAGACAAGGTTAAAAATGAATCAACCATGGGGCGGTGGTGGCACAGGCCTTTAATCCCAGCACTTGGGAGGCAGAGGCAGGCGGATTTCTGAGTTCGAGGCCAGCCTGGTCTACAGAGTGAGTTCCAGGACAGCCAGGGCTGCACAGAGAAACCCTGTCTCGGAAAAACAAACAAACAAACAAACAAACAAAAAAACAAACAAAAAAGAATCAACCATCCGGTTCAGAGCACGAGAATAGAAGGACAAGATACACAAAGGGCTCTGAATGGGAAGCCATGGGCCTCGGGATGATTTGAAAAAGCCAAGGCTTGCTTGGCATCTGGTAGGACTAGGGTCAGGGTCACTTCGCAGATCCTTCTAGACAGCTAGCTTTTTAGACATCGGTGTGATAAACACCCATTTCTGCTTCTCTCACCCAGGTCTGCCTGCCTTGGAAGCCAATGATGCAGTTGGTGAGTACCCAGCACTGTACACCCTCAAGTGCCACCTGCCTGCATTCCCTTCTAAGACCCTGTATCCTGTCTCCTAGTTTGGGTATTTGTTTACTTATTTTTCATTTACTGCAGATAAAGACAGTCCCTTCTACTATGGTAAGAGCCGACACCAACCCCCATCCCTTCCCACCCCATCACACTCAATCCTTGTCTGCGTTAGATCTCTGAACCAAGCCAACTGATGAGGACGGTACATAGCCCAGCAGTCAAGGTGGGGTGGGGCATCAACCCTGTTCTTCATTAAGAGCTAAAAAAAAAAAAGGGTGCCTTGAGGGCATGGAGGTGGGGTTGGTCCAGTGACCCCTGTTCTCCTTTCTCTAGGTCTGACTTCTTTGTCTCTCATGGCACTTGTCCCCATGAGATACTATTACATGATGTATCTATTAACCCATTTGGTCTCCTTTTCATTGCCTGGGATTTAAGTGCCGTGTGGGCAAGCACTTATTTATAGGACAAGGGGGTGCTTGTAAAGGTGCCCCACAAAGCCACACCCCAAGCCCCATAAATACCTCTTGAATGAATGTGTGAGGGTACTGTGAGGCAATGTCTTCTCTTTGCCCCCACCCCCAGACTGGGAGAGCCTGCAACTGGGAGGAATGATCTTTGGAGGGCTCCTGTGCGTCGCTGGAATCGCCATGGTCCTGAGTGAGTAGAGGGATTGGCAGTGTGGGGAAAGGAAGGCTCAGACTCAGGCTGAATCTATCTTCTTCCCCTCCTAGGTAGCAAGTGCAAATGTAGGCGCAACCATACAGCCAGGTAAGCAAGTGGCGAAGTTGTATGTATCTTTGCCTGAGGACACCTATGTGGTGATAATTTTCTAAGGCCAACAGAACCACTACACCCTGTCTATTCACTGGGCTAAAAGTGGGATTTATTTGAAGATTAAATAAACTCTCAAAGGCCCCAAATCAGGAAAAATTCCGTCCTTTGATATTAAAAGTCACTATGGAAGAAGAGTATTCGTGTTTGTAACCCCCTGGCAGTAAACACCTGTAATCTCAGCATTTGGTAGGGGTAGAGAGATCAGCAGGCCATCCTTGGTTACATACCAAGCTCAAGACTAGCCTCAGCTACTACATAAGACCATGTCTCAAAAACTCAAATACATAAAAGGAAAGTATGCCCTTGGAGAGGGACATGGGAAACCCTGAGGAAACAGAAGACCTCGATGCTTATCTGCATGTTTCCTCTCTAGTTCCTTACCTGAGAAAGGCACTCCACTCATCACTCCAGGTGAGTTGGTGGGATGCAGGAAGAGAGAGTAATAGGGTACCAAAGGGAAGAGGTCACTGAAGAACTGACCCACCTCTCCACAGGCTCTGCCAGTACCTGCTGAACTGAACACAGGACCAAGTTTGAAGGCAAGCTCTTCGACAGTGCCGTTTGTCTCCCCTCTGGAGACCTTCCTCTCCAGGATGGCTTCCCTAGAGCAAACTGTTAAGTCTTCAGTGACAGGGAAGGAAGGGTGTTCCAAAGCTGACTTTATATTAAACTGGTCTTGCTGCTCTGTTCTGTGGTCCTGTGACCCCTCTGTGATGTGTGGGGAGAGCAAAGCTGTGGGAATGCCTGATGAGTTGTCTGTCCCTATGGCTTTTTATATGGAAGCTCAATCTCAGCTACATCCTATTTTGAGAATCTCCTAATTTACTGTGTGCCTCCAATGCTCTCCCATGGATTAAAGTCCAGCAATACAAATGAACTTGCCAATAAAAGATACCACAATGTTTTATCCAAAGACTAGAATCTGTGCCCAGAGACCCGAGCAGTTCTGATGACATGGCTCGCCTCTACGTGATATAACCTAGAATGACGGCTTAGTCGCTCTGGAACCCCATCTCACTGAGACTTCACTGACCCATCCACCCTGGAATTCTTGGACAGCCCTCAGATCGAAACATAGAAAACCTCCGATGTCCTGGGATGCAGGTGCATCCAACAGTCTCAAAACAGTGATAAGGGGAGAGCAGCAAAAGCCAGAACTCAAAACTCTTGGGTAGAGTTTCCGCTGGGTGTTTGGAGAAGTCAGGAAGCTGGAGGCAGTGGCCCAGAATCAGACCCAGAGAAATCTGAGTTTCATCTTTCAGGTTCAGAAAAGTATGAAAAATGAGGCACAGAATTGTCCTGGATGACGGAACCGGGCATGCAAATGTCAAGGGCACAAATGACCTGGGCTGTGCCACTGTAAGAAATGACTGCCATGCCTGTAAGATCCCAGCATGACAGCTGCTTTGCAGCAGCACCCCCTTGAGGCGTTTCGCGGTGCTCTTCTGCCCTTGTGAAAGCCTGCTCAGACAAAGCAGGTTTAAGTCTCAAGTGACAGGCCACAGGTCTGTCTCTCTGCTGCGCACAATTCTATTTAAGTATAACAGGCTCTTGCCCCTTTGACTGGAGATGCAAGCTTTCCGACCACACATCCAGCTTGGAGAAGCTATCATAGACCCCACATCTGAAATGCTTTTCCTGTATTTGCTTTGTGGTAGCCAAAAACTCACATAACTGTGTTGTTTTTAGGCTACCAAACACTGAACATGGCCCAGGCTAACCTTGACTTTGAAGCTCCATTCCTCTTGCCTTCACCTCCCAAGGGCCATCACATTGGTTTATGTGGCGCTAAAGCACAAACCCAGGGCCTCAGGAATGCTAAATGCTCTACCAATTGAGCAATATACTCAACTTTAAAATGTTTCTTAAAATTTAGATCCAGGCGCATGCCTTTAATCCCAGCACTTGGGAGGCAGAGGCAGGCGGATTTCTGAGTTCGAGGCCAGCCTGGTCTACAGAGTGAGTTCCAGGACAGCCAGGGCTGCACAGAGAAACCGTGTCTCAAACCCCCCCCAAAAAAAAAAAAATTAGATCCAGTTACCCACTCCTATTAGCAACAATTCTGAAGTGCAAGGCCAAATCATCCTGTATATGGTTCTCATCACAGTATTAAATGGTACCAAATCACAAACCTGTGCTGTAGCATAGGTGGCAGTCTATGAAAGAACATGGAACCTTGCCTTTGTAAGGGCAGGATCAGGGGCAAGAAGTCTAGAGATGCTGTTAGCTCCAGAGAGATGCTCCAGGGGGTGCTGCTGCAAAGTGGATGGCGTGCTGGGATCTTCTCACAAGTATGGCAGTATTTCTTACAGTGGCACAGCCCAAGTCATTTTTGTGCCCTTGACATTTGCATGCCTGGTTCCCTCATCCAGGGCAATTCTGTGTTCTACAGGGCCTTGGACAGCAAGATCTCTACCAAACAAACACTTTCTTTTCCTCCTCTGAGAAGCTATTCAGGTTGAGAACTGCTTCTCCCCAAGCTTTTGTGTGATGTCACTGGAAGTTCTCATTAGACTATTGCCCCCTGGCAGGAGGCAACTTTACAGCTCCTTCCCCTCTTCATCCTCGGTTTTTCAAGACAGGGTTTCTCTGTGTAGCCCTGGCTGTCCTGGAACTCAACCTCTGTAGACCAGGTTGGCCTCGAACTCAGAAATCTGCCTGTCTCTGCCTCTCAAGTGCTGGGATTAATAGGCATGTGCCACCACTGCCTGCCCAATTCAGTTTCTTAACAACCTAAGAAATAGGGATTCTACCATCCCAGTCTTTCTTAAACCTGTGGGTTTCAACCCCCAAACCACTGACCCTATCACAGGAGTTGCCTAAGACTATCAGAAAGATATTTGCATTATGACTCTTCATAATAGCAAAATCACAGTTGTGAAAAAGCAACAAAAAAATGATTTTACGGTTAGGAGTCATTACAACATGAGAAACTGCACTAAAGGGTCAGCATCAGGAAGGCTCAGAACCACTACACTATCTGTCCTGATTTACACAAAAGCCATGCTAACAAGTACAGCTTCTCAAACCCAGGAAGTCCTGTTCCTAACCGTTTCTAAAGCACTCTTGCTTCTTCTGAGACTTGGGACTGTTCCAGAGACAGCCCAGTGACTATGCTTGTTTCGTAATTATGTCCTGTCTACTTATTAGTGATGTTGCAGATTATATTTTCTTGGGGCAGAGTCTCCTGTAGCCTCTTGAATTCTTGATCTTCTGAGTGCTGAAGTTACAGTCAAGTGCCACTACATCTGGTTTTACTGTTCTGGGTATGAAACCCAGGGCCATGCATATGCTAGAGAGATATTGAGATATACCGGAAGCCGTTGAGCATGCTATGACAGCCCCCGGCCCAGCCTAGCGCTAAAACTACAGTACTTAATATACAACAAATAAATACAAGTGTGATGGGCAAGCACCTACGACTTCTGCACCTGGAAAGCATATGCAAGAGGATCATACCAAGTTTGAGGCCAGCCTGGCCTAGTGAAAGTCAGACCAGTCAAAGTTACAAAGGAAGATTCTCTCAAAAATCAAGAGGCTGGGGAAAATGGCTTTTTTGGTGAAGACTTGAGCACTGATCACCAGCTCTTATTTAAAAGCCAAGCACTGCAATGTATAACTATAACCCTAAGGATAATGGTTGGATTGAGCAGGTGGATCCGTAAGAACTCTCTGGTCAGCCTAGCTGAATTGATGAGCTCCAGATTGTGAGATAATGTTCCAAAAAACTAGGTGAAGAGTGGTCAAGACACTAACTTCTGACATGCATGAATATGTATGCATCTGCACTCACATGACCACCACATACACACACACAAGGAGAAATGAGGTGGGCTTGCATTGAGGCATCCTATTCCTGTGAGTACCCCCTTACCTATACCTGTAAGGAGAAAACATCTGATCCAACAACTTGGACTTTGGCACAACTTTGGTCTGCGGTGGGATCCGTCTGGGGTGAGCAGGTATCTGTGTGATATATCACACAACCTATTAGAGACAGAACTAACTCTGAACATGTTTTCTGACCAGGTCTGGTAAAGTTCTTAGCAGCCACACATCCTCAGCCTGAGTTCTGGACACAAGTTAATAAGCCTACTCTCAGGTACAAAGGAACAATCAGTTGGTTTAATCCAACCTATAAGCTTCATTACTTATAGATGAGTCAAAAACTTACCTTCTGCCTGAGATGTCTCTGTAATGTTCAAGTTTTGTATAGTGTGATGTTGTGGTTTGTATATACTCAGTCCAGGGAGTGGCACTATTAGGTGTGACTCTGTTGGGAGTGTGTCACTGTGGGTGTGGGATTTAAGACCCTCATCCTAGCTGCCTGAAAGCCAGTCTTTTCCTAGCAGCCTTCAGATGATGCAGAACTCTCAGCTCCACCTGCACCATGTCTCCCTAGATACTGCCATTCTCCCACCCAAACAGAGCCTCTGAATCTGTAAGCCAGTCCCAATTGAATGTTGTTCTTTACAAAAGTTGTCTTGGTCATGGTGTCTGTTCACGGTAGTAAAACCCTAAGACAGAAGTTGAAGATTTTCTGACATCTATTTTTGTTTCTTTAGAGTCAAGGTTTCGTTTCATGTAGCCTAGGAATCCAAGGAAAATAATAAAAATAATCTGATATACCATTTGTCCAACTAAAAAAGAATTTTAAAAAAGCAAATTGGCAGGAATGGTAGCTCATGCCTACAATCTCAGATTCTAAGAATGGGGAAAAAATAGTCTGGGTACCAGGCTAGATTATAGCTGAAATCTTGTGTCAAAAACAAAAAAGGCAAGTACTGAAAGATACTAAGATACTAAGAGCCTAAGAAATTTTCTACAAAGATATTTTCAAATGAAAACAAAAACAAACCGGAACAAATAAAAACTCATTTGGCCAGGCATGGTGGTACAAATCCCATGTACCTCAGAAGCAGAGGCAGGTTGAGAGTTCAAGACCAGCCTGGTCTGCAAAGTTCTAGGACAGCCAAGGATACACAGTGAAGACGGTGTCTAAAAACTCAAAACAAAAGCCAGAAGCTATCGACCACAGATAAAGGATAAAACATTAAACAGAGCCAGGAAAACAGCTCAGTGGGTAAAAGCCCTGGCCCAACAGACCTAAAGAGCAGAGTTTGATCTTAGGAGCCAATCTACAGAGATGAAAGGTGGAGACATAATGGCTGAAAGCTCAAGGGCCAGCTAGCCACAGCAGAATAAGAGAGCTGCCTCAACAAGGTAGAAAGCCAGAACAAACAGTTGTTCTCCACTTAACCTACCATGGCATATGTGTACCTGCACTCACATCCAAACAGAACACAAAGTATTTTTTAAATAGTGTAAATTGAGCATTGTGCCACATGTCTGTAATCTCAACACTTGGGAGGTAGAAGCAGGATTGGGAGTTCAAGATCAAGCCAGAGTTTGAAGTTAGCATGGGCTGGTAAACAACACTCAGAAAACCCTTGTAGGCCTTCAAGTAACTAGATTATGTTTTCAAGCGTAAAACCAGCTCTCTCCACAACTCAAAATATGCTAGCAAATTTAAAAGCTGTTAAGATTTTTTCACCTCAGTGCTAGGAATGAACACAAAGCCTTACACACACTAGACAGCCCTCTAACAGGGATACATGCCCAGCACAATATGCAGTAGTTTTACCTGTATCTTGTAAAATCTACATTGTGCTGACCACAGACTAA